TTCCTGACAGTTAGAACAATTAACCAGTGGAACAACCTGCCTCCAGAAGCGGTGAATGCTCCAACACTGGAAGTTTTTAAGAAGAGACTGGACAGCCACTTGTCTGAAATGGTGTAGGGTTCCTGCCTGAGCAAGGGGTTGGACTCGATGACCTCCAAGGTCCCTTCCAACTTTATTATTATTATTATTATTATTATTATTATTATTATTATTATTATTATTATTATTATTATTATTATTATTATTAATACATTACACCCCTTCCCCCTAGATAGTTCAAACCCTTAACTGTTTTACATAACTTTTATTATTATTATTATTATTATTATTATTATTATTATTATTATTATTATTATTATTATTATATAATAAAGCATTCACAACATTTAGATTTCTCTGTGTAGTTTTAAGCAGAAAAGAGAGCTTCAGTACACTATATCCTTAGATGCAGACTAGTTTCATTTTATTTTCTACTTTGCAACAAGTAATAAGTCTGGATTATGACTGAATTATTTGGAATAGGTGGGAGTAAAAGCTCAATCTACTTTCAGCAAGATTTATGATGAAATTATTGAAATTCCTATACATTACAAGCACATTCTTTTTCAAAGAAAATATATAATATACCATACTTAATCACATAACATACTGCTCCTATGTCATACTTTTAATTGAATCATACCAAAAATATACTTCCAACCAGACCTGTAAACTATCCTAATTTAACTGTATGTTTTACAAAGTAGTTTAAAGCAGTATTTAGACTAAATTATATATATATATATATATATACTGTATATATAGTTTTTATAGGATTAGGAATAAGGTGGGGTCAAGATTGGGGTTGGGATTTGGGTGAAGGTTAGGGTTGGGGTTAGGGTATTTTTAAATAACATTCTCAATATTTAGCAAACAGCATAATGTCCAGGTTCATGTATTTAAAAAAAAAAACAATGAGTAGTTAATTATTACAAACAATATGTTAATTAATCACTCGATTGTCTTCTTCTTGCTAAGATATTCAAAGTTACATATCACATTCCTTTCTCTCTAACTCGTTTTTCTAGCCATTGATAAAAATTATCCCATGTTCTAAAATACAGAGTCTTCTTTCTCTTTTCTCTTTAAAGTCAATCTATCCATTTCTGTACACTCTAAAATTTTCTTAATTAATTGTTCTTCAGTTGGTAAATTTTCATTTTTCCAATGTTGGGCAAATACAATTCTTGCTGCAGTTAGTACGGGTAGAATTAAATATATACAGTCTCTCTCATAATTTGCTTCTATTATACTTAACAAAAATAATTCTGGCTTAAAGTCTATTTGTTTTTTAGTAATTTTCTCCAATCATAAATGTATTTTTAACCAAAATCTTTTTGCTTTAGGGCATGTCCACCAGATATGGCAATAAGTACCTGGTCTTTGTTCGCATTTCCAACACTTGTTTGAAGTATTTTTAAATTTTTTGCTAATCTCACTGGTGTCATATCCCACCTGTAAAACATTTTATATAAGTTTTCTTTATATGCCACTGCTTTAATTAATTTAGCATTTCTTTCCCATAACTTTTGCCAGTTTTCTAATTCTATATTATATCCAAAGTTCTTTGCCCATATTATCATTGTTTCTTTTACTTGTTCTTCCTTTATCTTTAAGCTTAACAGATATTTATAGAGTTTCTTAATCAATTTTTCATCTGTTTTTAACAGTATCTGGTTAAATTCTGTCTGTTCTTTATAAAATCCATTGTTTTAACATCTTTTTCATATCTCGTTTGGATTTGCAAATATGGCCACCATGATAGATCAGTACCTTGTTCTTGTAAATCTTGTCTATCTTTCAATTTTCCTTCATTGTCCAAGGTATCTTTATAGGTCACAACTTTATCGTAATTAATTAAATTTGGGTAAGCAAATGCTTCCATTGTTGAAAGCCATCCAGGTATCTTGATATAAATTTTCGCTTTTATTTTTCCCATTCTAAAAGAAGTGCATTTCTTATAAAGTGGTTTTGAAAGTATCTATGTATTTTATTCTTCCCATACCACAGAAAGACATGCTAATCAATTTGTAGGTCATGCCCCTTTAGGAATAATAGTCTTTTGTCTTTAAGCATTATCCATTCTTTAAGCCATGTTAAAATAGTTGCTTGGTAGTATAACATCGGCAGTCCAAATCCTCCACTTTTTCTTTCGCTTCTTGTAGCAATTTCAGTCTAATTCTAGCTTTTTTTCCTTGCCAGATAAATTTCAGTATTGTTATATTCAGTTCATCAAAAAAGCCTTTTCCCAGCCTTACAGGAATCGTTTGAAATAGAAAGAGTATTTTTGGTAAGATATTCATTTTCACTGTTGCTATTCTCCCCAACATTGAAAGTTGTAAGTTTTTCCACTTTTCCAGATCCAATTTTATTTGTTTTAGCAATCTTATGTAATTATCTTCTTTTATGGTTACACATCTTGCTGTTAGATAAATTCCCAAGTATTTAACTTTTTTAACTATTTGAAGATTTGGGTTTTTTTGCTAGTTGGTTTTTTTGTTTTTCTGTTAGATTTTTTTTAGCACTTTAGTATTTTCTCTGTTTATTTTCAACCCTGCCACTTCTCCAAATTTTTCTATTTTCTCCATAAGTTTAATGCTTGTTTCAAGTGGATCTTCCAATATAAAAACCAAATCATTTGCAAATGCTTGTAGTTTATATTTTTCATCTTTTATCCTTTAATTTCTATATCTTGTCTGATGTTTCTATTCAATACTTCCAGTGTTATTTATTTATTTTATTTATTTATTTTCATTGACTTATATGCCGCCCTTCTCCCCATGGGACTCAGGGCGGCTCACAGCATGTTAAAACAATATAAAACATTATCCCCTATAAAAGCCAATTAAAAACCAAATATTTATTGCTGTGTCTTATTAAAATCATTAAAATTGTCCCTATTTAAAATTCACCCTAGGTCAGA